ACTGGGGAACATTAAAGATGTCTCCTATAAGTTGAATTACATATGAATCATTCCTGTTATCCAGTGTCTAGATTCTGTACATTTTCTGTTAATCAAAACAGGACATATAGGGGAACAATTTATCAATATTTAATTGAAATTTTTCTTTGTGCAGAAACTACTACAAAATTTAATCACTTTTGTTTCTGAAAACTTAGCAACAATCCAAACAGGATTTTCAGTCCACCAGGCAACAGATGTGTATTTTAAGAGCATGGCAGTATCCCATGACACCAGTACAGGCGCATACACTGCTGCTGGACAATGTCAGACTTGGGAAGCTTCAGATAAGGGGGAAACCAAAGTGGCTTCTGAATTTGTATTAAGGCCCAGCCCTCTCTTAAATGTGGCTCTTGGTGCAGTGTCTCAAAAACTCCAGGCTCTTCAACTGACATGACAATGAATTGCTGTATTTTCTGGAAAAAGTCTGGCTGGGGCAGCTGTGCTCTGCATTTTCCCTCTCTTTCACTTTTCCCAGGCATGGGAAGCCACGATGCCTCTGATGCACTGCAAACAGATCAAGTGCTAGACATCCCAAATATTTGAGAAAGCAGCCTCACGCTTCACCTTTTGTATTTACGTGCTGCTGCTGTGCATTAATTCAGGGAGGATCACATCGCACTATGTGAATATTAATCTCTAGAGGCTGGGAGCAGTAGCTGTATCTGCTTTAATTTCTTCAAGAAACTTATTGAAGAGTAAATAATTTAGAAGAGTCCTCATTTAAAAAAAACAACCAAATAATAAAGAAACCCCAACTAAAATCAGAAGCTAACATGCTAGGAGATCTGTAACCTGCTCTTTTGATATGACATTTCCACAGTAGGGCACAATACCAGCTGTGCCTCTCCTGCATATGATCAGTTGGAAGCTCATGTTGCACTGTCATGCTTTATCCCCCAGGGATAGAAATAGGCATGAGTATCTTTCCATGAACTAGGCCAGCCAGTTCCCATACAGGGCAGCCAAGAGCTATTTTGGAACTGACCATCATGTATTTGGTCCCAGCGCTGACATATCTTCAGAAAGATGTAGGAAAAGGCCCCACAGGGCAGATGCAACAGTTGTGTTACATGCACTGGTAGGAGATGGCAGCACTACCTGCCCCAACAAATAACAACCAATAGTCCAAGAGGAAATGGCCTCAAGTTACAGCAGGGGAGGTTTAGATTGGAAATTAGGAAAAATTTCTTCCCTGAAAGGGTTGTCAAGCACTGGAACAGGCTGCCCAGGGAAGTGGTGGAGTCACCATCCCTGGAAATATTTAAAAGATGTGTAGATGTGACACTTAGGGACATGGTTTAGTGGTGCACTTAGCAGTGCTGGGTTAATGGTTGGATTTGATTATCTTAAGGGTCTTTTCACAGTATCACAGTATGTTAGAGATTGGAAGGGACCTCAAAAGATCATCTAGTCCAATCCCCCTGCTGGAGCAGGAACACCTAGATAAGGTTACACAGGAACGTGTCCAGGCGGGTTTTGAATGTCTCCAAGGAAGGAGATTCCACAACCCCCCTGGGCAGCCTGTTCCAGTGTTCCGTCACCCTCACTGAGAAGAAGTTTCTTCTCAGGTTTAAGTGGAACCTCTTGTGCTCCAATTTGTACCCATTACCCCTTGTCCTATCATTGTTTGCCACTGAGAAGAGCCTGGCTCCATCCTCGTGACACTCCCCCTTTATATATTTATATACACTAATAAGGTCACCCCTTAATCTCCTCTTCTCCAAACTATAGAGACCCAGCTCCCTCAGTCTTTCCTCATAAGGGAGATGCTCCACTCCCTTAATCATCTTAGTTGCCCTGCGCTGGACTCTCTCCAGCAGGTCCCTGTCCTTTTTAAACTGAGGGGCCCAGAACTGGACACAATATTCCAGATGAGGTCTCACCAGGGCAGAGTAGAGGGGAAGGAGGACCTCTCTCGACCTACTAACCACCCCCCTTCTAATACACCCCAGGATGCCATTGGCCTTCTTGGCCACAAGGGCACAGTGTCAGCTCATGGTCACCCTGTCGTCCACCAGGACCCCCAGGTCCCTCTCCCCTACACTGCTCTCTAACAGGTCGTTCCCCAGCCTATACTGGAACCTGGGGTTGTTCCTGCCCAGATGCAGGACTCTACACTTTCCCTTGTTATATTTCATCAAGTTATTCCCCACCCAGCTCTCCAGCCTGTCCAGGTCCCTCTGGATGGCAGCACAGCCTTCTGGCGTGTCGGCCACCCCTCCCAGCTTAGTGTCATCAGCAAACTTGCTGATAGTACACTCAATTCCCTCATCTAAATCGTTGATGAATATATTAAATAATACTGGTCCCAGTACCGACCCTTGAGGCACTCCACTAGATACAGGCCTCCAACTAGACTCCGCCCCATAGACTACAACTCTCTGGCTTCTCTCCTTCAGCCAGTTCACAGTCCACCTCACTACCCGATCATCCAGACCACACTTCCTCAATTTAGCCGCAAGGATGCTGTGGGAGACCGTGTCAAACGCTTTGCTGAAGTCGAGGTAGACCACATCCACCGCTCTACCATCATCCATCCACCGTGTTATTTCCTCATAAAAGGCTACGAGATTGGTCAAGCACGACTTCCCCTTGGTGAAGCCATGTTGACTGCCCCTCATAACCCTCTTATCCTTGATATGCCTTAAGATGGCACCAAGGATAAGGTGTTCCATCACTTTCCCAGGAATGGAGGTGAGGCTAACCGGTCTATAGTTACCCGGGTCCTCCTTCTTGCCCTTTTTGAAGACAGGAGTGACATTTGCTTTCCTCCAGTCCTCAGGCACCTCTCCCGTTTCCCAAGACTTGGTAAAGATGATGGAGAGCGGTCTAGCAATGACCTCCGCCAGTTCCCTCAGCACCCGCGGGTGCATCCCATCTGGACCCATGGATTTATGGATATCGAGATTGCTCAACTGGTCTTTAACCCATTCCTCATCTACTAAGGCAGACCGCTCCGTTGACCTATCTTCATCCGAGGTCTCAGCGGTACAGGGCTCTTCAGGACTGCCTCCGGCAGAGTAGACAGAGACAAAGAAGTCATTCAGTAACTCTGCCATCTCTGTATCTTCTGTCACCAGGGCACCCGTCCCGTTCATCAGCGGGCCTACATTGCCTCTGGTGTTAGTTTTACCTGCCATGTATTTGAAAAAGCTCTTTCTGCTGTCCTTGACCCCTCTCACCAGCTTTAATTCCAAGGAGGCCTTAGCCATCCTAGCAGCTTTCCTACATCCTCTAGCAGCAGTCTTATATTCTTCCCAAGTGGCCAGCCCTTCTTTCCATGACCTGTAAACTCTCCTCTTCCACTTGAGCATACCGAGCAATTCCCTATTTAGCCACGCAGGTCTCCTGACCCTCTTCCTTGACTTCCTACGTGTCGGGATGCTCCGATCTTGAGCTCGGAAAAAGCAGTCCTTGAACGTCAACCAACTATCTTGGGCCCCTTTCCCTTCAAGCAGCCTAGCCCACTGGATTTCCCCTAGCAATCGCTTGAAGAGGCCAAAGTTTGCCCTGCTAAAGTCCAGGGTTGCGATTCTACTTGCTATTCTACTGACCCTACCACACAAGGTCCTGAATTCTACCATCTCGTGGTCGCTGCAACCAAGGCAGCCCTCAACCTTCACTCCTTCAACCAGACCCTCCTTGTTAGTGAGGATGAGATCCAGCAGCGCACCTCTCCTGGTTGGCTCATTCACCATTTGCATGAGGAAGTTATCATCCATACACTGGATGATACATTTTCCAACCTAAATGATTCTGTGACAACTTACATGTTACATGACACAATGCTGTCACCCTCCAGGAGTGCCGCAGGGCTGCCAGGGTAACAAAAAAGAAATGCAGGGGGTTTTAATGCCTTACTCCAGGCAGCAAGGAAAGACTTTGTTTGGGATTCCTGGTATGGGATGCCTAAGTCAGGATCAATTTATCCAACGACCCAGCAGCTGCAGCTCTCCCCTGAGACATGGTGGCAAGAATTAATATGCTCCTGTTGTCCGATATGAAAGAGAGTTTTAAAGCTGGGTCTCCCGTCTCCCTGAGGGACAGTCTCCTGGTATCAAGCTCTCCTGGTGAGGCTCTTCTACTCAGTGTAAATAATTACTTGCTAGCCCACAGCAGGAGAGGAAAAGACAAAAACTGACTTGCTTGCTTGGTGATTGGGGCATTTGTGGGGGAAGTGGAGAGAGCAGGCATCAAACTCCTGCTCTGATGAGTACTGAATTATTTATATGGCATGGAAGAGCTTCAACAGGAGAGGCAGAATGATAGATATTCACCTCTGCACCTGTGAACCCTGCCCTCCCCTTTTGAAAGTTTTAAGTGTGTGCTGGTGTGATGCACAGAGAGGGTCTGCAGGGAAGATACAGGGGGATGAGGTCCCATAGGAGCTCACACATGTTGGGGTGTCTCATGGTGTCACTGCAGCAGAACGAGATGCCTGGTGCATGCAAAGCAGCAGTGACATAGGAGACACAAGTAACAAGGGATTTTAGGGCTATGGGATATGACAGTGACGTGGTGAGTGAAATGTGACCTCAAAATCCTTTCTAATGTGCAGGTAATACTTGAGGAGTCATTCCCTGCTATCCTTAATTAGCCCTAAGCCTGGTTCCAAGCACATCTCTTGGAATGTTGCAGCCCCTGAGTTTGGGGTTTGTGAATGTCCCATGTGGTGGACTCAGGTCACTGAGGAAATTTGGCCCTTGAGAGCTTGGACATTGCTGCAAGTGGAAAGAAGACTCCTAAACCACTGACTGATCTTGGAGAAAGAAAAATTACATTCCTGATTTACTTTTTGTGTCAGACATGGTCTTTTCATTCAAATCATATTCAGTTCTTTGTGCTTCTTGGACTCTGGCACTTTTATAGACCAGCCTAAGCATTTTTGAACCTGTCTATTGATAATTTGGGTGCATGCAAGCTCTGCCAGACCTGACCTTCCCCTGCTCTCTTCTCAGGTACTTTCCTTTACAGAAACTCACTCTGTCTGAAATGCAAGGGCAGATCTGTATCTTCCGGCCAACCATCTCCATGGCAGGTTACCTGCCTGCCCTCTACAGCCTGGTGCAAACTCCCCACAGCAGCTCCAACATGTTGTGCATGACTGATATACAACTGGCTTCAAGGGGGATCTTACCCATGGAAGTGAACAACCCTACGCTCTCAAAATAACCCCAAGGTTTTCTGCCTTTCTACTTTGTGTGACTTAAGGAGGTTTTTAGCTATGAATGACAGTGCTGCTCCCAGCCACTGAGTGAGGGGGAAAAGGACTCTACAAGTGGGTGTCACGTAGGCAAAGCTCACACTGTTTTTTTTCTCAAGATCTCCAAGTAATACTGCCAAATGCAGGGTGAGAAACCAAGATATTAAAGACTCTCTACTGCTAAGGGTGCCACTAATCTTCATGTGGGTGCCCATGGCACATTACATTCTACCTTTCCCCTGAGAGAAGCACCCCATGCAGACAGGGTGAGCCCTGAAGGAGAGCAGTGTGTCCCCCCCCGGGACACCCACATCCTTCTGCTCTGCTATTGCTTCTCGGTGTCACCTCCTGAACAGGGTGTCCATGGCTCCAGGGTGCATGGGGAGGTGTGGAGTGGCACGCTTTGCCCCTGACACTGGTGTGCAGCTTGCAGTTGCCGTGCTGGAGCAGGGATGTACTGGGATGACAGGTCAACTTGTACCCTCTGCGTGAGGGCCAGACTCTGCAAAATCACTCTCTGGCATCAGTAAATACCAACTTTACCTGAATGAAACTGAATTCTCTCCAGTTAAGAGAGTTCGCGATGGATGGAAGTGAAGTAATGGCAAGCAACGACAGCAAGCCCAGGGCAATTATTCCAACAGAGATATAAATCTCCATCCTCCAGACTTCCTCCTCTACCCAGATATTCATCTTCTTCTCCACAGCCTGGAATGACAATGAAGGTTTGTTGAAATGGAGTGCTTAGGAACAGAGGAGCTGAATTTTATCCGTATTTTGGTTTTGGAAGCAGGTTTCCTCGATGAACACTTGGTCCTATTCATGCCACCAGCACTATTTGTCTGTTTGGGAGGTGTGGAAATGCTGTTCTATCCCACCACCATTTGGCCAAAGCTAGACCTGATTTGAAGCCTACTGGGAGCAACTGCTGAATGTTTTCAGCTCCCATAGCCTGTAACCACAGCAGCAAGCCCCAAAGTTGCATTTGGAAAGATAATCAGAATGAGAAGTCAGTTTAAAGCCATGAAAACAAATACAGATGCTTGAATATGCAGTACTCTCCTAATAACTTTTGTTTTAAGTGCATTTAGGGGGGAAATTGTTCATGCTAATGGAAGGGAAGATGGGTTTTATGCTGCATGGCAAAGAGAAGCATTTAGAACTGTCCTCTTCAGCCCATTAAATGGACTTTATTAAACAAAGATGTTGCTAGAAAACAGGAGGTAGAGGGAAATGAACACAGGATGTTTGTCTGGGATTAATGTGTGACTGTGGCAGTGAAGAAGGACCTGCTCAAGGCTGGAGCTGAGAGGTTGGGGATGTTGTTTGATGGATGCCTTGGACAGGCACTGCTGCCAAAACCGGCCATCCTGCTCCCCTCTGCACCCACAGCCCTTTCCCTCCTCCTGGGGCAGGTATCCCAGTAGAGAAAACAGGCTGATTGTGGGGCAGTTGCTTCATTAGATTCCCCAATGAGCTGCACAAAGCTTGTGCCATCACATGAGAGAGTGGGGTAGAGCAGAAAGAAGCCAGGGGCAGGAGAAGGGCAGAATGCCATTTTCTCATGATACTGCCGAGTTACAGAGCTGGCTGAGTTGCCTGCAGGTAGCACTCTCACACTGGATGAACACTGACAAGAGTCTCAATAAGGCAGTAAAGTCCTTTTCCATTTCCTCCTTCTCTTAGACTATGACCAGTTCTTCACTATCCTGTTGTGAAACTCCTGGAAGCACGTTGTGAGGACGCACCTTCTACAAAACAACTCCCACTCCCCTAATTATGACTTGGTCACTCCAGCAGGCACCTACTGTGAATGTCAGTGTGAGCAAACAGGGCTCTCCAAAAATCTAGGAATAAAATTTGAGGAGTACTCTGCTTCTTCCACTACTGGATTTCTCCTAGCATTTTTTCTGCCTCTGCACCAGTCTCAGACACACCGGGTGCCAGGTACGGCTGGTTTCAAAGGCTTGCTCATGCTTCTGGGGAGCTATGGCACAGGGGATTTTGATCCTGGTCCTGCTAAGATGCATGTGCAGCACCCTGCTAAGATGGCTGGTTCTCAGTTCAGATAGATGCATACCTGATGCATGGTGTGTGGTTGCCCCATGGAGGAACAACTTGTATAGATAACAGCTTATTCCCACTGTCCCACCCATACTTTGGAAAATGAATGCAAAAGCCAAGGTACTAAGCCTATTACCCAACATCTGGATGTGTGTAGAAGATTATTACAGATGCTGACCTGAATACTACCCACATTACCTGCTTGACAGCTGTCTCAATTAACTGGTAGCGGTGGGAGCGGCGCATGGGCAGACAGAAGCTATACACGGCATGCAAAGCTGCACAGAAGAAGCTCAGGAGACCAATCTGCTTTCGGTGCTGGAGCCACTGGTCGAGCCAATCTGGAAAGCGCCTGTATTTGGTGCCATAATAGAGCTGTGAGCAGGCTGCCAGCACCCCAGGCAGGTAGACAAGAGACAGCATGACGTAGGCCACACAAGGCAGTGTTGTGTTGACCACCTCGATGGGGATCTTGTACAACTTGTTCTTCTGCTCCCTGATGTAAGGGTGGATGACCTGCCGGATCAGGTTGTAAGTGAAGAAGCAAATAAAAAGCCCCAGAGCCAAAAAGATGGGGATTTTCCAGGCTGGCAAGAGACGCAGTGGAATGTTCTCGATCTCAGAGGCTGATGACATGCAGCCCATATCTACAGGGGTGAATCCCATCACTTGAGCAATTTCTGCTACAGTGCGCTTGGCTTCTTGGTTATCTGAGCAAATTAGAACCTGCAATGAACAGAAATATAAACACAGGACAAAGAGAGATCAGGCTGCTGGGAATGAGTGTGTCAGGAAGGATACTAAAGGGAGCCTATGTTATGAGCACCATGCTTTCTGGCAGGCTTTCTTATGGGAATTTACCATGGCTGCCAAAGCCATCTCTCCTGGACAGGCTTCCTTTCACGTGCCCATCACCAGATTGTTCTACTGGTTGTGTTTAGATAAACAAATAATTAAATAAATACTTTTCACTTAGGCAGAGGCTCCAAAGACTACAGAGCATGAAGTAAGTGAGGGTAGTTAATTTCTGAGCAAAGAAATGTGGAAGCTATGGGGTGGTCTCTGGATGCCACAGCTAGCACTCAGGCCCCTTCTGCTGGAGCCTAAGGCCATTTTCGGTGCTGCCAGACCTCAGCTGCTGAAAGTTGGGATTTGGCCCTTGTCAGAAGAAAACAGTACCTGCTTATTTCCATCCCTGGCCCCTGACTGCAGTGTCCATGCAGAAACCACATTAAATCCCTTGACCACAGTGCAGGCTGGGAACAGCGAAGCCAAGTACTCAGCATTGGATTCTTTGTGATGGTTGATTTCGGTGTTGTTACTAACGTCCACCAGGATCTTGCCCACCAGCACATCAGCCAGGTCACAGAGAGTGGAGTAATGTTCCCTGTAAACTGCCACAAAAATGACATCTGTCTTCTTCACCGCCTCAGCCTGCAAGGTAACTTCTGCTGCGGAAGGGAAGAGGCCAGCCTTTCGCCTTGGGTTCCGGCTGCCAACCACCACCTTGAACCCGGAGCACACCAGGCGGATGGCCAACGACCGTGCAAAGTCCCCACTCCCCAGCACCCCGATGGTGCGGCCGGCTGCAGGTGTGATGCTGGGGTCACTTTCTATGGTCTGATGGCCCAGGAGGGGTTTGGCCATGTCTCTTCCAGACATCCTGGCAGGAAAACAAAGGGAAATGCAAGTTCATTGTGAAGCTCTAACAGAGATCCAAACCATACCTGTGGTCATGGGGAAGAACGTCACTTGGGCCACTTGAACAAAACTGCATGTGGTTTTGGTCCCAGTAGCCCAGGACCCACCAGTACTTGCTGGCTGCCAAACCCACCAGCAAGTGAGTGATAATGTACAAGCACCACTGGAGTGGGAAAAAACACCACAAGGGGTTGGAAGGCAAAGGGTTTTAGGAGGGTTTCTTGGATTTGTGTGATCCAGCACACTCATCCATCCTTTGCTGTTCTTCATTCTGGCATCTCACATTGCAAAGCCAGGGCAATGCTAACAGCAACCAGGACCAGCAACTCTCAGACCCCCATAAAGCTACCAGGCATCTTTCATAAAGACCAGAGCCAGGGGTCCGTGGGGATCCCTGAGCTTGCATTTGGGAAAGTCAGATGGGTTGCTTCTGATTTGCAGAAGCAGAATCTAGGCAGGGTGTTTCAGTTGAAATGAAAGTGTCCTAAAAGAGGTAAACGAAGAGAGCTACAGCCTTTGCTTGTTTCAATATTTGGGTCTGGCAAGTGGTGTTTGCTTCAGCTCCTCAATAAGTAATGAGAATTTACTCATGACATTTAAAAAATATATTAAAATATGATGGGATTTGCTCATGAAAGATCTTGATGAGCTTTACAAACATTAACGAATTTTGCCCTGTAACACTCTGCTCTCCTTAACGAATTAGATATTGAGCCACAGAGAGGTTTAAATCAGATCAATAAATTCACAGCACACCAGGCAGGCCTGGAGGTCAACAGAAACTCAGTTAGGGAACTGCCAGGCTGCTGCCACCAGCTGTTCAAATCTGCCTCTTGGCTTAAGGAATGGCAAATTTGCCCTTAAGGAATGGGGAACAAGACAACTTGGTTTTTGCAGAGTACAGTCTTGCCTGCCCAGTCAAGTTCTTTCAGAGTGAAGGTGACCACTCTGATGGGGTGACCTGGTCCCTGGCACAGGCTGTATTTTTCATGGGCTTTTGGAAATGTTCTTCACCCAAGGCTTTTCACCATTGGCACAGTAGCGGTGCAAAGGGGAAGGGCATTTCTGCATGAATAGTTACCAATGGGAAACAAAGGGTAAGAAGAAATAATTTTCATAATGGGAATAGGTTATCAAGAGATTTCCCTGAGGATCTGTGTTGTTCAACATGCTCATAAGCGATCTGGGAAAAGGAGTTAATATTGAGAAGATGAAGCTTTTGCGTGATGAACACTTAGGACAGTCAATCATTACTGATGAAGAATTTGCAGAAGTATCTTCTCATTCAAAGTGCCCGAGCACCAAAATTCACTACTGACACATGGCAAGAGCTGCCTATGGCCATAAGCCCCTCACCCCTAAATATATGTGCACTTTAATGAGCTGTAAATCTGTTAAGATCACTCAGAAAAATGATCTGAGGGTTGCATTACTCTCAAAATACCAGCTCGGTGCTCCCAGGCAGGCACACATCAAGCAGAGCCTGAGTTACTGGAGGAGAAGATCTCTTGCACAGGTATGAAAATCTCTCAGTCCTGCTCCTCATGAAAAGCCTACAAAACACCTTCAACAGATGGATGGTAAAACTGTATGATTCACACTATCCTGGATACAAAAAAATATCACAGCTTCAGTGACAATAGTGTTTCAGTGGCAGAGGTCTGCCTGCTCTCCTTGCCTCTCACCAAGTATCCCTTGTCCCAGGGACCAAATATACGTGTTCATGGAAGAAGTGCTTCCAGGAGAAAACAAATGCCAAAGAAAGACACGCA